GAGTGGATGAGAGAAGATTCTCCTGAGAACTGGCCTGATCTAAGTTGGGAGGAAGAGTAGGCATTATCCACATGGATAAAGGAGAGAAGGGCATTCTAGGTAGAGCCTGTGCTGTGGTGTAGAAACATAAAAGAACCAGGAATATTTAAGGAACTGAGAAGATCAGAATGGCTAGAGTTTTTGCAAAGGAGGTGAGGGGAGATGAGCCTGTAATGGAATAAAAGAGTCAGGTCCTGAAGTACCATTTTTGCCATAAAAAAGAAGTTGGATTTTATTCTGTAGGTACTATTTGAAGGATTTTAGACAGAAGAGTGGTGTGATGATATCTGCGTTCTAGAAAGAGCATTCAAAAGATAGTGTGGAAATGGCTTAGAGGGCACAACTAGGGGCAGGGAGCATAGTTAGGAGACTTGCAGTTGAGGTGAGATAACAAGAGCCAAAGCTAGGGCAGCATCCCTGGACATGGAAGGGATTTGGTGATTTAGTTTATCACATAAGGTGAGTGAAAATACAAGTGATAAATTCCCAGGTAAGCATCCAGTTCTGTAGTATTAAGTACACTCACATTGTTCTGAAACCATCCCTACCACTCATCTCTGGAACTTTTTCATCTTTCTAAACTGAAACTCTGCATCCATTAAACATTAACTTTTCATTCTCTTCCCCTGGCCCCTGGCAGCCACTGTTCTACCTTCTGCTTCTATGAATTGGACTATTCTAGGTATCTCATATTAGTGGAATCATATAATTTTTATCATTTTATAAATGACTTACTTCATTTAACATCATATCCTCAGAGTTAATGCATGTTGTGCAGGTGTTCATTTCTTTCCTTTTTAAGGCTAAATAATATTCCATTGTATGTGTATACATTTTATTTATTTATTCATCTGTTGATGGACACTTGGATTTCTTCCACCTTTTGGCTAATGTGAATAATACGATATGTTAAGTTTTCAAAAAGTCGATATTTCTTTGGGACACAGTTAAAAAGCTTCATTTAGCATTAGGAAATATAGTTCAGGTTCTAGAAATATAGATTTGGGGAAGTAGAATAAAGTTTACTAAAGTAAGTTTTTCATTTCACCTTAAAAATTCTTGAGAGAAGAGCTATGTGCACTGGAAAATGCAAGTCATTTTTACACTTACAGACTGTTAGTTTGACATATTCTGATTATATTCTAAGGAAAATATTAAGGAAACCACTGACTGAAAATGTATTTATTGAGACTTTATCTTGATGAGATGAAGGGCAAAAGATGCCCATCGAGAGCTTCTTTTTAAAAATGGCATTAGATTCTTACGTTCAGAATATTAAAATAGATTAAATTGCTCCAAAATTTTCAGATTTATAACTTCTTCAGCAAAACCTTTGTTCACCCCTGTTTTCAAGGGCCTGTTCATAGTCCCACCTTCATATTATGTGTTATTCCAAATCAGTGTTGAATACCTTTAAGACAATTTCTTTAGCGATCCTAACTTAAAGCAGAGGCAGGCCTAAACTATTTCCTTATTCATTCAACAGATATTTTTGGTATACTTACCATGTGCCTGACACTGGGGTTAGACTAAGTGAACAGGTCCACACTCTGCTTTTGTTGAATTTGTAAGATTCCCCCATCCTGCTATAATGGATGCTACTGCTACTTTACATATAGCTACTGAAACTTTTTACCTAAAACTTCTATGTAGTATCTTATTAGATATTTCTACTATCCTACGAAGTAGGTAAAGTAGGTATTATTGTGCCCATTTTATAAATAAACTGTAGCTTACACAGTTGCACAGTGGATTAGTAACAAAGTTGGAAATAGAACTCAGATTTATTAATTTGCTAATGCGCTGTTTCTACTATTTCTACTCGTCACACACAGCTTCTGTGACATGAACTCTAGAGATCACCTCAGTTACACTTTTGTGCAAGAAGTACTTAGTGTACTGAGAATAGCATCACCTCCTTTATAGAATATATGTACTAGTGGGTGAAAATTAATGTGACCCTATTTTAAGTGAACTACCTCAGAAAAACTAACCCATTGGTCTCTACATAAACAAAACTGGGAGCCGTGAATGTATAGGTGAAGTTTGTACTATTTCATCAGAACCTATCTTTCCCAGTCCTTTCCCAGTTCCTTAATCAATCAGCAAATATTGAATTCTCCCTGTATTGAAGAATGATGCATACAGCTAGAGCTGGTTTCTGTGAAATAGCACACGGAGATAACTATGGAAAATAGTCTTTAAATAGCCTTAGTTATTTTCCTGATTTAAGGGTGAGGCCTCTTCAAGAGTTTATTTACTTTCACAAGGGATCTATATAGCATTTGGACTCCAAGCAGATGTAGGTTTCTTTATCTTATAATAGCTGCCAGTGATTCATCCAGCTGCTGAAAGAGAGCCACCTCCAAGTTCTCTGTTTTCCCTGTGCCATAAACAAGACCTAGATTTTATGCTAGATATTTATTGCTATGCATCTTAATCAGACAGCCTCTGATTTCTTAAAGACCAAATGCAACGTTTGTATGTAGGTGATCCTAAAATCTTTAAAATATATTAAAATAGTTTTAATATATTCTCAGTTTCTTCCAGGAAACCTTAGACTATCTCTCAGTCCCAGAATGTGTCAGTCCCCAATTTTAATCCAAACTGAGCAAAAACATTCAAAAGCAAGGTTCCAAAAGAAAGGATCTTTTAAGCCCCCCCACTTTTTTTTTTAGTTAGAATGCCAAGTACGTACTCCTATTCAATGGAGCTGCTACTATGTTATTCTCCTGCAGATAACTTCCTTAGAACATCATGTACATATTTTAACATTATCAAGAGGAAAGTAACTCTTTTGGGAGGTAGGAAAAGAAGAGCAGAGTTTCAGCATAACAATATATCAATATGAAGCCACCTGTAGAAAACTAAGAACCTGATCCCTTCTGGCAAGAAATAGTTCATCCGTTTTAAACAAGTACAGAAATGCACTGTCATTTCTGCATATCTGAGTATTGAATGGTGCTAGTGCCAGTGTCTGAATTTCAAATGACCTCATGAAGACTACAGTGAACCTCTTGCTATCTAGGTAACTTTAGATTCTTAGAAGCAAAAAGATCTATTCAAAGGCAATAAGCCTTTAAAACTCAATTTCTCACTTTGGTATTTCTTTCAGTGTAAAAAGATTAATCTGAATTTTCCAAGTCTGGCAAAGACTGACATTTCCTTGAAGTAAATCTTCACTTCTGTTTAGGGATATTGGCTCAGAAGAGCTTTATTCCACCATTTATTTTCACAGTTCATTAGAATTTAATTTCGAGCTTTGTGCTTTTACCAATGAATATATGTATTTCATTTAATAACATAATGATAGGTACTTTCTGTTCTGTCCATGAAGAAGTACCTACTAAGGAAATTGTCCTTCAGCCATAAACAACTAGAAAATCTGCTTCAGTCATTGGACAAGTCAGTGCAGGGATGTGGTCCCTGAGAAGCAGCTGCCAATCAACAGTACAGGAAAGAAGATCGTCAAAGAGCCTGGCAGTCTTTGACTATTGAGGAGTTGAGTTGAGACTGGGGTTTAGAGAGACCAAGGGGGCCAGAATTTGCAGAGCAGAGTACCAGAGAGGAGTTGCTCAGTAAGCTCTGGAGAGTTATAAGCAGATATCTGAGTCTGGTTACAAATTCTGCACATGTGTAGGATGGAAAAAGAACCACCAGAGAACAGTAGGCTAACAGTTCCTGGAGTATACACAGGGCTAGGGGTAGTTCACATTTCTACCAGCTAGAGTGGAGAAACCTCAAAATACACTGGCACCGATACTGGATAGAGTCCTCAGCAGCTTTAAAGCAAAAAGGATTAAACTGATCTGCATAAAACTTAACTGTATAACCAAACAAAATTAATACTTTTTAAAGGAATTCAATAAAATGCAGCACTTGAAATTCACTAAGTCTGGCATCCAATTAAAAATTACTAGATATTTAAAAAAGCAGGAAGATATGACCCATAACCAGGAGAAAAATCAATCAATAGAAGCACAGACCCAGAGCTAATAAAATTAGCTAACAGGGATCATTAAACAGTTATTTTAAATCATATAAATATGATCAAATATGTAAAGGAATACATGAATCTGATTAGGAGATCAATGGAAGATGTTTAAAAATCCAAATAGAATTTCTAAACATAAAAAATACAGTATCAACTGAAAATAATGGTGATAATAGCCATTGATGTTGCAATGCTTCCTATGTAGATTATCCCATTTTTCTTCTCAACAGTCCTGTGTGGTAGGTAAATAGTTTTATTATCTTTTTTTGTGTAGGAAATTAAACCAAGATTTAGAAGTTAAATAACTTGTTTTAGGTCATACACCTAATAAGTGAAAAAGCCAATGCCAATGAAGGCAGAAAGCTGACTAGAGAGAGTCCTAGTTTTTTTAATGCGTTCTCCATCAGATGGTGTATGAGATGCTTGAAATATGAATGAGTAAATGGCAATTTGCCCTTAAGGAGCTCACATTCC